GGATTATTCGTGAAAGTTTGTAAACAGATGCGTGTAAATTCTTCAAATCACTGAAGCTCATAGACAGGTCCTAAAATCCTTCCCTTGACTAACAATCGTACACATTCCGGTAGTTGCATTACCTGAACTACATACCAGACTCCAATGACTCATAATATGCCATATTATTTCTGTGCTTGGACATGCAGAAAACATTCGATCGCGTGCATCACACAAGCTTACCGATTCAGCTAGATTTCTTTGAAGTCCAGAACATATAAATGGGTTGTCTATCATCATACATGAACGGTCCCGCTAAAATACTTACCTTAGGCGACTATTGCTCTTCCCTGCTTCCAGTTACCAGCGGAGTTAAACAAGGATGTGCATTCGGTACATGAATTTCCCTTCGTCGTGTCAGTGATAGCAGTATGGTTACATGGCGTGCCGTTTTATTTGTTGATAATATAACATTTGTCCACAAGTACCTAGAAGTTGAGCTTTTGAATGTATTAGCACTCATCCAAGGATACACACATTCGCTTGTGACTTGGTGCGACAGTGGATGATGACGTTTTAAGCACAACAGTCAAGCATCATATGTCGCGGTCGCTTGACAACCTAGTTATCTATCACTATGTACTGCGTACTGTTGTACTGTGTACAACAGGCTACCGGTGAACTTGGAATCAAATATTCTTGTACCTTTATGTTCTTAGAACAGTTTGAGTACCAGATAGCAGGAGCCAGACGATCCTTTGCTAACATTTTGCATAACATGCATACAACCGCAGCTACACTTGAACTACTGTAACTGCTTAATGGTGAAATCCTGGAGTATCGCAACGTATTCTAAGACAATATGAGGAAAGCAGAGAGAACATCGGTACAAAGCCTTCAGCACTCATGTACTAAACACATATTGGGAACCAACTCTATCATAATCTATCGGGAGCGATGCCAGCAAATCCATCTCTATCCGCTTGGGCTGCGAAGACTAAAACATCATAACTGCAGACTGCTGAACAATCTGATTCATTGCGATACCCATTGCAATCGGTGCACGTTAACATAGAAGCTCATTTACAACCGAGAGCTAGGCAATCAATACATTACCCTAATTATAGCATGATGCAAGAGAAATTTGCGGTCTAATTTTCGTCTCACCATATATGCTTCTCTGTGGAATCGGCTACCCTTCACCATCATGTTTTGTGAGACTGTGCAGTCTTTTCGCAGTAAGTTGGGAAGTTACCTCGATCTGGACACCAGTATGCCGTTTTTTCGTGGGAAGATCATGTGAACATCCATTCAGTGAAAGCCCAGCTAACGTCTAATGGGTGTATTTATCAATTCACGCAATGCAATTAGTCCGCAGTGTCTACAATGTACTCACACTGCAAAGTTGTCTCTTACCATCGCATAAGACAAACATATGGAGCAAATACTTTGCCAGCATGCAGACAAATATAAGAAGATAACTTGCTATTGCACTTGCAAGAGCATGACATCACCTGTATGTGTATTCTCTGCGCCAAATGTTGCCACAGGTTTTCAGTTGCTGAGAAATATGCCAATTATTATTATTATTGTATTCCTGCGGTATATTGTTCAAAAAGTAGCAATACTAACCTAGAGTCTAATTATGCCACTGGTTCTGTGCAACTTGAACCGATGACATATTGTGAGCTCGATAGGTTACGGACTGTTCGGATAAGCGCTAGAAATTTCGGAGAGACACTGGTTACCGACCGGGTCGAAATAGGAACCAGTGGTATGTCCTTCCGATAAAAGATCTGTTCAGGGGTGCTGAGGGAGAATATTCAAACGCCTCATCGTAGGTTGACCAGATGCAGTTAGGCATGCCGTTGGTGACCTCTAGCACTCACACTCTCATCCCTCTCTGCCTTCCGTTAACACTAATGTATCAACCTACTCGGGAGCATATCTGTCCTCATAGACGCATACACCTAGCCCTGTGCTTACATCTGGGGAGTCCCACTGGCTAATGTCCCATGCCTAATGAGAGTGTCACTGGCAAGGCGTGCATGTAACCCCTCAGTGCGCGTATGAATTGATGCACACGTGAACTTGCATGAACAACCCTTTATTTTGAGCTTTTATCTAACTTATTAGCACAATGCATGAAATTGCCTGTAAAACGTATAGAAACCCTCTCTAACGTGGAATTAGATGATAACTACACGACCGATTACATTCCTCTATGAACTTTTCAAGTAGAATTAACAACTGAGATAGACAATCCTCACCTGTAGGTAGGCAGCCGATACTTCAGCCGTAAGACCAACAAGCTCGGTGATTGATACTTGACTCGGCGGTTAACAATTCAGTGTTGGGATTTGGAGTAAATACCTTGCATCGTATTTGTTTGAATTTTGAGTCCCAAAGTGATCACAACATTTTCCTCAGTCATGGCGTTCCACAGCCGTCATGTAATTGATAGTGATACAACCCAGTGAGCTCAGAACACATGGATACTAAATAAACGTTTTTTCTCTCGGCAGTACGATTGGCGCTTGTATAGATACGGGTTCGAATCTTAGAGGAGTCAGAGGAATTTGTGTTCCGACCCAAATCCAATCAGACAAAACGCATGCACAATACATTTACGGATCTGCGGAACGTGTACATAGAGGTTACTTTCGGTGAAGAGTCTCAAGTAGTTTTGATTCCCTGTTATGTTGCAGCACCTCGCAACGATGAAGACGATAATTTGTGGCATACACCGGTGAACTACTACGTAAAAGTCAGTAGTTCAGCTTTTATCGTCTCCGACTACCAAGAAGATAAACCTCGTATTGGCTCCGCGAAGAAAATCGTTCCCTCCACTGGAGTCCTTAATGTTAGAATTCACTACTTATACGCTTCATTGGATGAATGAATGCACACGCACTCAAAATCTGTCCTTTCCTTTCCCACTTTGATTATTTGTAAAATTTGTTAGGATATTGCCCTTATTCTCATGTGCTTTAGCACATAAAACATTAACCTGAAACAGTATTATTATACACCTACCGGGTTTATACAAAATATGGATACGAGGAAACAGATGTATGAATGAACGTTTTCATTTACTTTACAAGAAAATTATAACGGGGAAGCACACTATGTTATGCGTTAGTGGTCAACATCCAATTCCCGTCATCGTCAATGGAGACGCATTTAAACCATCGGTCATTTACTTCCAGTTTATTATCGGTTCACCGTCTCATCGGTAGGCGTTTCACATGGTGACACATACATTTCTTCATTTTTCATAATTTACACGTGGACCATCTTACGGGTATTGTTCCGATCTGGATTTGTTAGCGTGTTGAATCACCGTCGATAGTTCGACTGGGTCCGGCCCTACTGAGTTCTACCCATAAGGAGTATATGTTGGAATGTTGTGTTACTTGAAATACTGTAGGGAAACAAATTACTCAGCTTTACTAACTGTTTAGCAGATAAGTTGTACTGCAAGGCACGATGAGGGTCGATCTATTGGATCACTATATACATGTGTACGCAGAACATGCCCATTGATCCACCAAAACCGATTGTTGATCGTAACCGTGACTTCGTTTGCATTCTTGCTAGGCTAATCGACACTGTAACGAATTCCGTATAAAAGTTTCCGGTCGCGGAAAAACCGGCCGAGATAAAAAAAATCGGTTCGCACAAAGAGCACAAACTTTGCAACGCAAACACGCGACGTTAGTGCTTCGACAAGCAAAGGAAGAAAACCGATATCAGCACGAAGCTTTTTATCAGGGCACCAGAACGCTCCACAAGTTCGGCATGAGTGTACATAAGCAACAGACCAATAGAGCAAAACGGATGTACAAGAGAATGAAACAACGGTGTCCAATAAATGAACAATAATAAAAGCAGTCAAACTAAAGTCGTGGGGTAGTAACTTTAAATCGCTCAGTTCGGTATCGAATTTGTTGCAACACTAACGGTTGAATCGGTGGGTTAATTTCAACAGACAGCTGGAAGTAAGGCAGTCGCTAGTAGTAGCGTAGTAGCTGTCTCCAGTGATAATAGATTGTCTTCTGGACAAACTGAACCTACATGAAGTAGACTCGAACGAATGAGGTCCGCTCGTTTGCCAATGCTGACCATATATGCCTGCTCGCACAGTCTTCACTATCAAACCAGTTGGGAGGCCGAGCTAATGAACCATCAACGACGTAGAGAATATCAGTGCATACTCCTTCCCCCCATCAAACCGTCGCCATCATCCCACCACCAAGCTGCACCGAAAACAAGTAAATGAGAATATCCGCGAACTGGTAACATACGGCGACAAAATTCCCAAATGAAATACTCGCAAAGCATTTCTAGCGTAACTCTGCAAAAACCGAGACAATTGATAGCCTCACGTGCCTGGGCATGTTGCAATGTAAATATGATCCATCCGTTTGTGGTTTCGGGTTCTCGGTACCAGGAGATATATACCTTAGTAAAATTAGTATTATAATTATTAATAAACTGCGCTATTCTGCGGACAGCTTAGAACGGCGGTACCACAGCTGTTAGCAAATCCTTTGTATCCAGATGTCAGTTTGACGCAAACATGCAACGATTTTCACGAATCTACTGGATCCCTGAAGCAGTGTTGATTGTTGTAATAGTAAGGAAATCACACGCAACTATCCGGTGGAGCGGCACTCAGGTGTAAGGAGGACCTGCTCTTGATGCGATCCCTCCATGAGGAGTGATCTGCCAACCTTCGGCAAATTAACTTCGTTGGTTTTATGCAGCATATAGTGCTTGAATCACGCAAACCTGTGAATTGGGTAGTATACACCTAAGGAAACGGGTATAAGACTGGGAAAATATGCGACAAACAGATGCCGATGAAACAACTTCAAAAAATAACCAGCTCTAATTGCTTACCCCAGCTGCATATAAGGCCAGAAGCAGTTCAACAAAAGTATGGATTATCAAAGTGAGTAACATAACATCATTTTATTGTATTTGAGCACAGCCACGTGTACGATACCATCTTCCCGTTAAAGTAACGCCTCAGCCAGAGTGGCCCGAAACACACTTCGCCAAACCCATGTCGGTTGTTGGTCACCGTGCGTAAAAAATGGATGTCGACCAGCTTCAGAGCTGACGCCAAGGCCAGGCAACAGGCGCGTGGCTTGTCCGTAAGTGGCCCAATAAGACCGTACGGGGATCCCCGCGGCTTCCGTCAAAATGCCGGTCAGATGAACATGAGGTAACTTAAACACTCTGTAGTGCCGAGCACAGGCGCGCCACATTCGTAGGCTGGACAGGGAGATCATAAAACCACCCAACTCGATGTTACAATGAGGGGGGTAGCGTGGTCGAGGCCATTCGGCTAGAGTGACCACTTCCGCTGAGCTCAGGCGTTTTTCCTTCTTTGGGCGTATAGGTTGCGCATCGGTCACAGAAAAGCAGTACACAGGCTCCGGTGTCTGGTCACTGGATGGAGTCTGTGACACAGCAAAACTGCCTAGCAACGGAACGTTTGGGATAAGACCTTTGTCGATGAAAACTACGTGATGTGTGTTGTGTTGGCAAGCAGTTAATAGGAATTCGCTAGCAAGTAAGTGCAGGGTAACAGAGTTGCTCTGGGCGCCTTTCAACTGGACAGGTAGCATATCACGCTCTCGAAAAATCTCAGCTGTGATGAGATCCAAATCTTGGAGACTCACGTTGAGTGGATTCGAGAATGCAACCGTAAAGAAATAATCAATCACACCAATATTATTCTCCGAATGGTTCCTTATGCCATCGAAGCGAAAGTAGCGTAAAGAGGCCCAGGTCTGTCTAATATGATTCCTTGCCTTAAAATCTGTTGGCTTGGTGAAGACAACGAAGAGCAGATCTGTCCGACGCGTTTGGCACAAAGTTGGAAGAAGTAGACGACGTGTAAGTGGAGAATCTTTGAGACCGGAGAGAGAATTCAGCATGTTCAGCGTTACAGATAACACGTAGTCTATGCCGGGCGTATGGAAAAGTGGCGTTGTCGAAGCATAAGGCAACGAGAGATTGCATGTGTGACGTGTCAACGTACTAGTATCGATCTGTTTTAACAACGTGGTAGGTTTTCGCTGCAAAATTCGTTTGCCCACCAATATCTTTCGCACCGGTGTCGACTTTCGTGGAGTCGATGCTTCAGTTATGAGCGCCTTCGGTCGAACATTCCTTGACGAATACATACTGGCGATGCTTATTGCTCGTGCTTGGATGCTGATAGCAGAGTTATGCGGCTTGTGTACTGCACCATCTAGGTAGACTCGCATTTGACTGGAAGGCAGAAGCAGCACAGTCAGCAGGCCACACATATATGCCATGCCGAGGAGTAGCGCGGCGAAACACCAGCAACGCGCACCAGCTCCAAGTGAAGCACTATGAATCAACAGTCGCATCGGCGAACAATCAGTGCTCAGGTTCCTACGTTAGAGATCGGTTGTATGGTCTGTGAAGTCGCTTTAGCATTTGCCTGGTGGCGCTTGCATGCTTCACTGTCGAAAAGTATAGATGAGTGAGAGTAGTCTTGGGGCATTCATGTACGTCAATGAGCGCATGCTCGAGAGAGCCAATTGAATGAATTCACTGCGTTCCTTGGCTCTTGTTTGTGATTTGACGAATCAGAGCGCACACAGAGCGGCCAGTTAGACGAGAGATGGTTTGCGGAGTATTCCAATCGAGCGGTTGTGTGAGGTATTGATGCAGCGGACGAGAAAATGCGGTGAATACCATTATCTGTGAGATTGCAATCGAACCAGTGGGAACTGCCTAACTCAGGTTGACAGGATGATCGCACCAACTCGTGTTCAGAATGTGGCCACCTTAACAACGGGTGATCCGTAGAAACCGAGTGACAATTTCGAAGAAAGTTAGACGCCACATATGATGTCCATCGCTTAGCAGAGAATGATAAACGCCGCTGCACAGGTCTGGAGCAGTGGTATTAAAACCACAGTCCAAGTACTCTTCTCAGCTTGTTATAGCGTAAGGAAACATTTTTGGACGGGCGTGTTCAAGAAACCTCCGTGGATGGTAGCATTTCGACAATACACACCTTTTGCATGGGAACGGGCCGATATAAGCCCAGTAAGTCGTTCAAAGAAGAAACACAAAACCACCGCTTTTGACACTATTCTGAAGGCAGGAAACACGTTACATTGTGCTACGCAATACCTTCAACTCGAAATTTCAAATACATCAAAGCAACTGAGCGGTTGCGCAATCTGGGCAAGTAACTTCAACATACGTGAGCACTAATCGACTAGGCTTCCAGCAAATGAGAGGAGGCCAGACCACGGAAGTCCCCTCCTAGAGACATTAACGTTCTGGTTTGGCACTTGAAATTGAAATGTGCTTTTCGGAAGAAAAATGCGAATCGGAGTGGAGCGCACACCGAGATTTTTGCGCAACTTGTCACACACGTTCACAATGTGCAGCGGTATGTTTTCTTGAAAATCAAGACAGCAACCTATCTAATGACTGAATCGGCCGGCTAAGACAATTACTGATGCTGTGCTCGTGAAAATGGTGGTCTTCAGAACTAACTTGGTGACTCAGTTGCGATGGCCATCATTGTCACTAACGAATATGTCAGAAAACTGGTGTTTCGACTCTTAGTTGGAACGGACGGAACGTTCTTCACAGATGATGCGCACTCGTGCAGAGTAGCCAAATGAATTGGTAACATTGCAGATTAACGAGACCTATACGCCAGACATACATGCGAGCTGAGACTGGAGACGAATACGGGCAGCCTAGTAGACTGCACTGAGACCCGCACAAGGATGAAGGCTGGCCGTGAGCAAGAGTTCTTTTACTGACTCAGACAAAGCGAAGCTTGCCTACTACACCTTCATTTTATAGCCCAATAGAAGAGTATAAACCATAGAGCAAGGTAGATGTTGGCAAGGCACATGTGGTCGCCCATAGTAGATGCATCAGTGTTCTGAGTAGAGCTCCGTTTGTTCATTGTCGTTTAGCCTCTATCCTGGGGATGGTTCGTTTGTTTTCTACTGCAGTCTGAATCACCGCATGTACGTCTGAGGTGAATCTGACGAACTCGGCGCAATTTTTATGGAGCCATGCCAGCTCAGTAATAGAAGAAGATTTTTATGTAGGTGTGGGTGTGAGATCATTGATAAACACCAAAAGCAATAGCGGGCCGAACACCGAGCCTCTAGGCACAAGGCATTTAACTTGTATGTGGTCAGAGTAGTAGCTCCGAACTCTGCCTACCAATGGCCGATGAAGGAGATAATTGGCGAAACAGCCTAGAAGAAGCTCACCGATCCCGTAACACTGTCGCTTGAAAAGAAGTATCCGGTGATTTAAACGGTCGAATGCTTGCGAGAAATCCAGATAGATCATCACAAAATCCACTCCAGCGTCAGCTGACTGGGTGTAGCACCTCCATGGTTGGCGGCATCCGGTTTCAGATTTGCCTGTCGCTGTGGTCAGCCACAGGACGCCTGCGCCTACAGAGAGACCATGGGTGGCTTGCGCTGCACCACCCACAGCTCCAACCACACACCCAGTGTAAACCCGAAGAATTAAGACCGGGAGGCATGTGGATGGGAGCCATGTTTCATCAACGGAGCCAACCCACACTCCTTCACAGGCAAACACAAGCACACTGTATTTGGGGAATCAAGCGCACACAAGGCGTGGCTGGACCGTAGTCCGCTCCACACTGAGTGCATGGAACCACTCTTCGAGCCTAGCACGGCCACAAGGACGGTGCACCTCGTCCCCTCCAGCAACGACCAACTGTCTCCGGGAGCCAGTATGAACGAGGTAGTGGGTAATAGACAGGTAGGCACCTTGTCAACATGCACATCAAGAGCAGCCACACAGGGGATATCAAGCATCAACCAATCACTTGAAACGACAAGAGGAAATAAAATAAATCCAATAATGCATAGAGATACTGTGGCCTAACCGCTAATTTAGCAGCTGAAGTAAGTTGGTTAGCATCGCATCCGCGATAAGTACAAACTGTCCACAATTTACTCAAAAATGCTACAAAGCAACAAACTTACCGAAGATAAATGCAATTAGCGTGAGCAGCGAGACTAGTAAAGAAAAGATTATTCAGCTAGACAGAAGAAGCCAAATAACGTGAAATGAAATTTATCGAGCTTAAAAAGACCTAGTTTAAGTGTAATTTGGTTTAGCCCAACTACAGTGAAGAGGCATCAAGAATGCAACATACATATTCACAAGATGTTTACAGGTAATTTGCTATTAGAACTATGGCGAAATAAAGGGGAGGGGGAACGCAATACAACATGAAGAATACGACTTTACGGCTTTACACACGCCGCTTTGGAATTTTTGTGTTTTTGAGTTTTATGTTCCATGTGACGTTACCTATTTTCTAACAAGCTTGAACAGTACTGTCTCCACTGATGCCGGTTGCTCGTGATAGCCTCCAACGTTTTTAACCACTGGCAGTCCGAATCGCATGGCCCCATCCCAGAAGGCGGATCCGTCCGACGGATGCTAAGCTTGAGGTTGCATTCCTCATGCACCTTCTCCTTGTCATTGGTTGTCCACCGCGGCATTTTCTAATCACTTCTCGGGAACGCAAAGCACGCTCAGCGAGGACGGTGATAGGCTAGCATGCATAATACGTAACCGAGCCAACACATGCGGTGTTGGAGAATAACGTTCTGAAGACTGGCACTACTCGCTTCAAGCATTCGGTCTCGGACCTCTGTGTTGCATACGTGATGTTACAACCACACCTGAGCAAACTTTCGTAAACAGCGATCGCCGAAGACTGACAACTGCTTCATGTTTTCAGAGCGAATAGCCTAAGTCTCACAGGCGTACAAAAATACTTCACGGATGGAAGCATTGTACATCCTGCACTTGAGTCTACGACTGACATCACGACGACGCCATAGGTGTCTCGGTTTGAGGAATTCAGTCCGTTATGTGACCGTCTCCACCGCCACCAGCCGTGATGCAACTTCCTAGATAAGCACACCAAAGGACTTGCTCCTGAACATGTTCAGCAATGGTGAGCGCGGGTTCAGGCACTTGCCAATCCTGGAGCAGCGTTTTACATTTTCCCGGAGTGAAGTATAAGCCGTAGTTAGACGCGTCCATCGCTAAGCGGTGCTGTAGCACCTCCCTGCTATTAGTAACTCGTTGGACACGACCGATTTTGACAAGAGCCGTGGTGCTCAGAAATAATAATAGAGTTTTCGAAATAGCCCACCAGCGCATCGGCTATGATGGATTGCATTACCTTGGACAGTATAAGGAGAACGGAAATTGGGTGGTGGTTTGAAACCTCGGTTCTGCTTCCACCTTTATGAATGGGTGTTATTATGCCAAGCTTCCACATGACAGGAACTTAGTTTTGGTCTAAATAGCGCTGGAAAAACTGAGCCAGTGGCTCTGCCAGTTGACTTGTTGTTGCCCCCTGTGTGTCTGAACGAATAGTTTCAACACCCGAGGATTTGTGCTTGTGTAGTAGCCAGCTTCTGCCAGCCAGCTTCGGTGCTAAAAGAGATGTGAGTTAATCCTAGCAGGGGGATGATAAAAGCTGGAGGATCTCCTGATGGTAATACCCTGTGGAAGGTGGAGACATACTGCATCCTCAGCGTGTTTGCTGCTTCCGTAGCCGTTCGTGTTGAGCCATCGGCCGTCGTGAGTGTTGGCACTCGTTGCGTGATCTTCCGTAGAACATTGACGTGCTTATACAGCAGTTTGTGATTGGTACTGAAAGTTTGTTCTATGTTCTGCTGATGCGCGGCTTTATCCTCTCTGAGCAGTTGAGTGCAGTGGTTTCGTTGGGCTACGTACTTATCCCAGCTTTCTGGTGTTGAGAATAATCTATACGCTCGCCACGCTGCGTTGCGCACTGCCAGGAATTTTCGAGTTCTGCTCCTTACCTAAGTAACTGTTTCTGACCGTCCGCAAACTTTTGTCTCTGAAGTATCCGTAACCAACCAAGAGGACCGCACAGACAGAAGCAGCGTATGCCCTCCTCGTCAGTTTAGGACTAACGGCGCGACAGTGTCGTAAGTGTCCCAGTCTGATGAATGCAAGGCAGGCCTTTGCGATCCGTTGTGGAATCTCGTCAAGAATACAACCACAAGCTGTGATGCAACTCCCTTGATAACCGAAGCAGTAGATTTGTTCCAGGACGCTACCAGCAATGGTGTGAGCAGGCACAGGCATCTGCCAAACTTGGAGTAGTACTTTACATTTGCCTGGAATGAAACACAAACCATACTTAGATGCATCCATCACTAAGCGT